GAGTTCCCAACTTGTAATTAGTAGAGTAGTCAGTAGAGTAGTTTATAAATCAATCGTTAATCTAGTTTGCTAGATAATGAACTGAAGCTGAGTAATAGTAACTCTAGAGACCCGTGGATTCGATATTTATTACTTGTGGCACTATACTGCAGTCCCTTTCATTGGTTACACTTGGCCATTGTTAGGTGTTGTGTCGTAGCGTGTCAAGTTTTTGGCGCCGTTGCCGGGGACTTTCTAGATTATTAGGAAAGGCAGAAGTTTGTTACTTTAGCATTTTTCTTTTGTTTTCCGCCCTTGCTTTTCACTTGGGTTTTTTTTTTTGTTTTTGTTGGTGCAGATCTGAATCATGGACCCTCATGGCTTCTCCACTCATTGGGGGTATCCACCACCATCCGAGTGGTATTACCCCGAGACTCCCTGGAGTAACCAAGGAGGAGAAGACTATGGAGTCGGGTTTCAGTACCAACCCCCCTACTACGAAGAACAATCAGACCCCTGTGTATTTCAAGAACAATCTCCTTATCAAGAAGAATTCCTCCAACAACAAGAAGGGCCATCAGATCTTGAGTTCGCCGCAGCCTTCACGGGCGATCCGGCAGAGCCATGCTACACTCCACAGCCAGATCCAAACTATCACTTGAGGCTTCTCGTGGAGCAGATTGCTCGAGTACCTGAGAGATCCTTTCCCGAAACGGATCCTCATATCCAGGCCATTGCCCAAACTGACTTCTCCTTTCCCCGTGAAACAGAGGATACCCTTCGGAGCATAAAGAAGCACATAGAGGTCATTGAGAAAGCATGTTCACAGTTTTCTCAAGACAACCTTTATGCTACCATACAAGTAGAGGTGGAGGAAAAGAAGGCAATCGTGAGGATGCTGAGGAGCATACAGAAGTTGTCAAGGAAAGCTCCCATGATAATCATGATCAAGTGTATCCTCTGGTGGTAGATCACAACTTTCCTCATTTCCGCTCTGACATGCTGGGCCCGAGCGAGGAGATGCAAGCTGAACTTAGTGAGAACCTTGCATGGTGACTTGCTCTCCAATCAGTTATGGAAGAAGAAGAGAGAGAAAGGGTGAGGAAAGAAGTTGTGGTGGATGAGGAAGAAAGCAAAGAAGAGGTAGTTCTTGATCTTTTTCGAGGACAGAGACCACATTTTGAAGAAGGAAGGGGGGTTGAAGAAGCGAGTGGTGTCCAGGCTGAGGATCAAGTTGAGGCGGAAGAGGCTTGCACCGGCCCTATAATACAAGTAATATCCCCACCAAACTTCGAGGAACTGCTTAGCAAGGACCCATTTGCAGTGTCTCTTTGCCTGACCAAGGCCACATCGACATCGGCCCCTCTTGGTGGACACGATGGTGGTCAGTCAATGCTGTAATATCTGGTTTGGGGCAATGAGACGAGAGAGGAAGAAAAGAAGAGGTCTCGCGGGTGGAGACTTCATATTCATCAAGTACACAAGCCTACATCACCAGTCATACCACATGCTCGTGAATTGAGATTCCGCCTCGCCGAAGAGAACCTCAACTTCAAGGAGGTTCTAGCATGGACCGAAACTTAGGAGCCATCGTCCGGCTCACGACGTGAAAGAAGCGCTTGTTGGGAGGCAACCCAACCAGTCGGTTTGCATTTCTTTCTCTATTTCTCCTCGGTTGAGTCAATTTTGTTATTTGATTTTAGAGTCAATAACTCAACCTTTGTGTAATTTTGTGTGGTGTTTGTGTTCTGATTACTCTCTCTTCCTGGAATGCACCGCCTGACCCGTCCATCATCATTCACCCTTGATCTGGTAACTTCGTTCTACCCTCCTTATCTTTCCTCCATTGAGGACAATGTCGTGCTTAAGTGTGGGGGGGGGGGGGGGGTTCGATTATGTATGCGGGTGAATGTTTGGTTGTTTGTGTGCTTGGAGCCTAGTCCACTGTCCAAATTTTTAAATTTGAGGGCTCCAAGTACTTGTTTCCTTGCAAATTGCCTGCTCAGTATGCTTTGAATCGACAGTCTCTATAGTAATGTGCAACCTAGGGAGGTAGTGTAGCACTATGGAGGATGTTGAAGTATAAGATTTTTCCTATCTAGCTCTCTGCTGTGCCAGTTGATTTTGTGAATTAGTGGAGCTAAGACCGTTGAATTCATGTGGTAATGGTGACTCTGTTTGGATTGTGTTATGGATTCGTGTATCGAACAGGGTGCTCATGTGGAAAATGGGAAGCAGTTGGTCTTCCATGTCAAAAATCTTAAGCATGGGGTAAGCCCAGCGTGTGTGGCACCGTTCATTGCACAAAAATCGGGTTTTGGAATAGATTTTAGTGATCCTTGGTGGGGTAGGCCTACAAGGTGAAGCTAGTTTGTCTCTAGTACAAGTAAAACTTCCACCCGTTGAACGGTTTGCCTACTTGAGGATGTGTTTTTAAGGGCACGGATAGAGCTTCCGACCCCCTTGATTTCATTGACCCTCCACACGAGTTGAGGAAAAGGAGTTAAAAAAGTACTCTGGCGAGCGCTAGATGTACAAAAATTGCTCTTGCTCGACTAATAAGGGTCGACCGTGCAAAAGACTGCAGTTGGAACCCCCGCCAAGTGAATGAAAAAAGAAAAATAAAGTAAAATGAAAGCGAAAAAGAGGTTCCAACGGTGAAATGAAGTGAAAGATCACCCCGGTACAACGAGTCCTTGGTTGTGATTTATAAGAGTCCCTTTATCCATGAACTAACTGTCTTACTTCTACTTCTTCTCATGATCCTGGCTTGAGTCTAGTACTCGCATTGAGAGAGATAGGGAACGTCTTAGAAGACCAGTTGACCTCGTAAGCTGCTTTATGATCTAGAAAATCCTCTACCGACGATCGGGGTTGTTCTTGTTGCTATAGAGGTCTGGAGAGCTGCATTGGTTTGAGTTAGGTTTGCTTGGGGACAAGCAAACAGTTAAGTATGGGGGAGTTTGATAGACCGTTAATTGCACATGTTTTACCCCTATTCTTCCACCGTTTGAGATGTTGATTCTCGTGTTTTAGGCAGATTTCACGCTAGGTTGTTCTTGTTTGTGATATTTCAGGTCTTAGCACATGAATGAAGGCTTGCGAACGAGTTCGGGGTCGATTGGACGAAGATTGGACATTTTGCGTGAAGCTGATGGAGCCACACGGGCACTCCTAAAACCTACGCGGCCGTGTGACCTGGCCGTGTGGCACCAAATTGCACGGGCAAAGTCACACGGGCCGTGTAGAGGACCCCTTGTGGCCGTGTGAAGGCTCAGTAAATCCCACACGGGCATCCTGGAACTCCACACAGCCGTGTGGGTCGTGTCCGTGTAGGATCTGATTAGGTTAAAAGAGCTTCCTTGATTGATAGTGGTGAATTGGTTGTGCGAGAGTCAAACAATTCACTGCTTTGTACTGGAATTCATTCCAGTAGTGGAGATATGTGTGAATCGCCTTAGCAGTCTATCCCAGTGAAGGCTAGTCGCCTGCCGGGTATTCTTTCTGAGAGGGCTTGGTCAGCTTAAGAGATTCCAAGCTAATTTAGGATCTTCCGCAGTTTAATCAACAGTAGATCAACCAAAGGTAATTGCAACTTGGACATAATTGAGGAGCTAGGGGAAATCATACCTAAGTGAGTTCCCAACTTGTAATTAGTAGAGTACTCAGTAGAGTAGTTTATAAATCAATCCTTAATCTAGTTTGATAGATAATGAACTGAAGCTGAGTAATAGTAACTCTAGAGGCCCGTGGATTTGATATTTATTACTTATGCCACTATAATGCAGTCCCTTTCACTGGTTACACTTGGCCATTGTTAGGTGTTGTGTCGTAGCGTGTCAATACCACTGTTAGAAACCTTGATCTAGGCGTGTACGTCTAGGGTTCGCAGAACTGAAAATTGCGATGTAATTATGGATGATATAGGATTTTGGGATTGGAAACAGAAGGATTGTGAATGGAAGATTTGAGATTACAGGAAGGAAGCAACAAGGTGTCTCCCCTAGGGTAGGGGTCGACGACAACAAAGGAGAAGAGAGAGGGAGTTGGCCGAGTTTGTGAGGGAGAGAGAGGGAGATTAGGTTTAGGGAATTATGTTCTATAATTGTTTAATCCCACTAATCCCACGATTATAGAATATATAACCCGATCAATTCCCTATAACTACCCAAACATTACCGAATAACCCTTTACCCCCAATAATCTGAAAAAAATGCCCAAAATAACATCAAAATTCCTCAAACAATAATAAACCGACAAATAAGTCCAAGACCCCAAAATAGTTAGAAATTGGGTTTCTAACACTTTCCCCGGATAGGGGCACATACACCTCAAAATCAACTTTGACGGGCGAGTCTTATTCCAACTGTTGCCTCTGGTTGTGCTTCAATGAGTTAGGTTCATAGATTTTATTACTTCGTGACTTTTGTGATCGTTTTCAAATGACTAATGTCATAGAAAAGGGCAATTCAGGGGTTGTAATTTCATAGATTAATGAGGAGAAAGTATCATGTGTAGTGAGTGCATGGTGTCATTTTACAAATAGTATAGAGTATTTAATTTCATCTCCATTATTTTATTGAATCATTACTTATATGTCAAATACTCCATAGAACTAGTTATCCATAGACATTGTAGCTTTCTTCTCTATCTCAATCCATCGAAATATTGATCTTTAACAAGAAAAAAAATACATGAAAGCATATTTCAAGTCTTTAATTGATTAGGGCTAAATTAAATTTTTTTATTAAAGCATCAATCTTTTTATGCATATTGATTAGTCTGCAAAACATTATCAAGAAAAGGGTTTCATCGTTTTCACATGGTGAAACTCTCTCTCTCTCCTTTTTTCTCTCTCTAAGCTGTTAGCGTTTTCTGTTAGCAGTTTTCTCGTGACGATCCTCTTCCCCGATCTCCTTTTCCGGTGAGCGCCTCCTGCACCCGGGTCAGGCTGCGGAGCTCCTCTCCGTAAATGTTATCACTTTTATTTTCTTCTTCTCTTTGTGTTTCATTTCTTCGCCATGATAGAGGGCTCAGTGGAGCAATCTTGGGCTAATCTCTTTGGGATCGCGAAAGCAAACAGGCTGGTCTACATCCCTCTGGAAATTGTTCATGGTGGGCTCCGAATCGCTTAGGAGCTGATTGAGAAAGGGGTTTCTTGCTGGAAGAATTGCCTGGTAGGGCAATTTCTGCACTCATCCCCGCATATTCGCCAACTCCGGACCTGGGCAAACAAATTGTGGGGAAAAGACGGGAGAATTAGGGTTTCCTGGCTCAGTGATCGTCTTATTGTGTTTCACTTCCCAACAGAGGCCTCTGCAAATAGGGTATTCACCAGGGGCCCCTGGAATTTATGGATGACATGTGTTTTCTTCGCCAGTGGGCTCCTGGCATCCGAGGGGTGACTTGTAGTTCGGTGATTCCAATTTGGGTCTACTTTAAGGACATGCCAGTGGAATATGTCACGAGAAGGGTTCTTACATGACTAGCTAGTATGATTGGGACTCCTCTTTGGTTTGATCAGTCTACATGTTTAGGTCGACGAATGGGATTTCCCAAATTCTGTGTTGAGATGAGCATTGATTCTAGTTTTCCTGAAACTCTAAAGTTGGTGCCAGACCACAAACCAACATTTTTTTGTGGATGTTGAGTATTGTAACCGGCCTAGGGGTTGCAGGAAATGTAGAGTTTTTGGACATGAATGTGAGGATATCCCAGAAGTGGTAGAGGAGGTGGCAGGAAACTCAGTACAGGATAAGGAGGAGGCTGAAGTTGATCCAATGTTGGGGGAAGCTTCTCTGGTGGGAAGTTCGAGCAGGGTTTTAGGTTTGGCAAAAGAGGTTGGGACTTCTGGAATGTTAGAAGGGGCATGTAGGAACCTTGATAGGGCTGTTGCAAACCTAGTCTCTTCTTTGGAGCCTAGGCAGGACCCTAGCACATCATCTTGGGGCCCTCTTCAGTTTGTGTCTGATCCTATTGTTCAGTTGCCTTCGGATAAAGAGTTTCAGAATGTGATTGTGGGTAAGGGAAGTTCATAAACAAAAACACCAATCCAAATAAGTTTCAAGCTCTGGAGACGACAGACTAGTTTGCTGTGGGAGAGATAATAGTATCTAGTCCTCAGGTGCATAATGGGCATCATGATAAGGGTGGTTCTGGTGAACTGATTGAGCAGTGTAATCAAGGTAAGAAGAGGCCGAGTAGGCCAGCTAAAGGTAAAACTAAAAGATGATAGTACTTGCTGGGAATATGAGGGGATTTAATCACCCCAAAAAGCATAGACAAATACTAAAAGTAGTGTCTCATTTCAAGGTTGATCTTTTTGCTGTTATAGAAACTAGAGTTAAAGAAGAAAAGACAAAAGAAATTTAGTGCGGAGTTTAGTGACTAGGATTTTGCTCATAACTATGAGTATTCTTATATGGGTAGGATTTTGGTGTTCTGGATGAAGGAGCTGAATTTTGTGGTTTTGGAAAAGTCTGATTAATTCATTCATGGTGAAGTTTGTGGGGAGTTGTATTCGAAGGTAACGTTTGTGTATGGTCTGAATGATGAGGCAGACAGAAGGAAGTTGTATCGTCATCCTACTCTAGTTCCTGATAGGGAGCCTTGGCTAGTCATGGGAATTATAATGCTATACGAAGCCCCTCTGAAGCTTCAAATAATTCGGGAAAGTTAATGAGCATGGAGGATTTTGAAGCGTGGATAGAAGGTATGGAACTAAAAGATATTCAGTTTCAAGGTCCATGGTTCTCTTGGATGAACAGACAAAGTGGAAACCTAATAGCGATAAGGATTGACAGGGTTCTGATAAATTCAAGCTGGTTGGTCTCTTTTCCCAACTACACTGTAAAGATGCTTGTGCATGGTCTCACTGACCACTATGAGATGCTAGTGCACTCTGACTCACAAACTAAAACCTTCCCTAAACCTTTCAAATATTTTAGTTGCTAGCAAACTCACCCACAGTTCAAAGATATTATTAGAATGGCATGGAGCAAGACAATAGTCGGTACTGCTATGTTTAAAGTGTGTCAGAAGCTTAGGAAAGTAAAGAAGCAGCTAAAGCTATTGAATAAGAAGGCATATTCTGAGAGTTCTGAAAGACTTAAGGAGGAGAAAAATAGGCTGGAGGAGAAGCAGCTACTAGCTATTAACTTTCCATCCCAAGTGAGTTTTCGAGTAGTTCAAGAATGTCAAGAAAACTTGTTATCTCTCATGAAGGCTGGAGAATCCTTCCACAGGCATAATTTCAGGCTTATTTGGGTACAACACGGGGACCTCAATACTAAGTTTTTCCACAATCTGTTAAAGCAAGGCAAGCTCGCCAAACCATCAAGAGGCTTGTACAAGAAGATGGAGTTGAACTGAATGGGGTGGAGGATATTAGTAGAGAGGCTGTAAAGTTCTACCTGAAGTTACTAGGGACTGTAAATTCTGATGTAAAAAAGTGGATTCAGGCTTGCTATCACGTATGTTGTTTCATAAGATCTCGAAAGATCAAGCTAGTCCTCTCTATCTTCTTGTAACCAGGGAGGAGGCAAAAGAATGCTATGTTTTCTATGAAGGGGGATAAATCCCCAGGGCAAGATGGGTTTACAACAGGTTTCTTTCAATATAACTGGGAAATTGTTGGTGATGAATGCTACTTACCTTGCTCTTGTCCCAAATGTACTAAATGCTGAACATATGAAGCAATATAGGCCAATTTTCTGCAGTAACATCCTATATAAATGTGTAGCTAAGATCTTGGCAAACCGATTAAGGGAGGTTTTACCTTTGGTTATCAGTTCTAATCAATCTGCCTTTATTAAATGAGGGTTAATAAGTGATGATAATTTGCTTGCTCATGAGATGGTTAAGTTGTATAACAGAAAGAATGTTTCCCCGAGGTGTGCTTTGAAAGTATATGTCATGAAGGCGTTTGATAGTGTAGACTGGAGATTTCTGGAATCTGTTATGGCTGTCATGGGTTTCCCTTCTAAGTTTTTAGGTTGGATCAGAGCATGCCTGGTCAGTACGAAGTTAAGTGTCAAATTCAATGGGGTCTCTGTGGGTATTTTTCAGCAAAGAAAGGACTGAGGCAAGGGGATCCCTGTCCCCTTACCTCTTTGCCATTGTCAGGGAAACTATTTCTTGTATGTTAAATAGGGCAGTGTTACTAAAAGCTCTTCCTCCACATCCTCAAACTCATCGAATAGGTCTGTCCCATCTTTGTTTTGTTGGTGATATGCTAATATTCACAAAGGGGACTTGTGAGGCTGTGGAAGTGACAAAGAAGATCCTTGACCTATTCTATGAAGTTTCTGGGTTGAGGTGTAACCCTGAGAAAACTGAGGTTTTCTGTGCTGGTGTGAATAGAAAGGTGCAGGGTCTTATTGAATCAAACACAAGATTCGTATTGGGCAACTTCCAGTTAGGTACCTAGGGATACCTCTGGTTGCTGGAAAACTTAATTCAAAGGATTATCAGGTGTTATTAGATAAAGTCACTACTAGGATTAGAGACTGGGGCTGCGAGCCCTATCCTATGCAGGGAAGCTGCAGCTAATTACCTCTGTCATTTCTAGCATCACCCAGTACTGGATGAGCATAATCCATTTGCCTGTGAAGGTGATAAAGATGGTGGAGCGAGCCTGTTCTGATCTCTTGTGGAGTGTAGAGAGGAGGGAAAGAAAGCAAAAATAAAGTGGGCAGTTGTTGCTTTACCAAAGAAAGAAGGAGGACCGGGATTCCGTGATTTAAGAAGTTGGAATATGGCTTGTCTTATATGTCATCTGTGAGCTATTTGCTCCAACCCATCATCTCTTTGGGCTGCTTGGGTCAGAAGCTATCAACTCCACTACAGTTCCATTTGGGATATATCTTCCTCCATTTCTTGCTCGTGGGCCTGGAGAAAAGTTATGAAGTCTCGAGATGTGGCAGCAGAGCATCTTCGAGTTAGGTCTGGTGGGGTTTTCTGGGATGAAGTGAGGTTGGGAACCTATTCTGTAAAGACAGTTTGGGAACCATTAGACCAAAGCAAGCTCAAGTGCCCTGGTACGATTTGGTTTGGAAATCAGGGTGTCCTCCTCGTGACCAGTGGATAGTGTGGCTAATCCTTCATAATATGAGCACTACTTTGGATAAAGTGCAAAGGTGGAACTCTTCTGTTCATAATATTTTCCCTCTTTGTTGTTGTGCAGCTGAGTCTGGAGACCATCTTTTCTTCTCCTGTTCTTTCACTACTGAGTTTCTGAATTCAGTGCTTAAGTCATTGTATGTGGCCGCTGGGAACTGGTCCACTTCTCTATCAAGGGTAGTGTCTCGGTTTAAGGCAGATAGCCTGATCTGGCATAGGGTTCGCCTGCTTTGGATGCTTGCTGTCAGTGAACTATGGCGTGAACAATGTCAAAAACTATATGGTGGAACCAACCTTAGTGTTGGGTAGCTGCTGGAGAAAGTTAGGAAGTTTTTTATCTTGTTAAAAGCCTGTAATGTTCAGGTGGCAACTTGTGTGTCTGATCATGATATTAGTTGCTTAGTGTGAGTTGTGTTTACTGTAATGCTAGTAGTATAGTGAAAATGTTCTGGCTGCCAGGTTTGTATAGTAGTGATGTATATGTGTGGATTGTGGTACCAGTTAGGGTAGCTTTCTGCTGCTCTCACTTGATGAATAAAAATGCTTATTCATGGGGAAAAAAAGGGTTTCATAAAAAAAGAAGTGCATTTATTCCAAAAAAAAGTACATATCCATATATTAATTTTATTGGTCCTTTTCTACATGCTACACATGCATTGTTAGAAATTTATCGTTTAGATACTAACACCTTCATTTCTCAATGAAATAACTAGGATACTTTTATAAACTATTTTGAACTAATACTAGGATTGATTGAAGATACGATTAATAAATGTTGGTTGATTTAGTAAAACTCATATGATCATATAGCCTCAAAGGGGTGTTTTATTAAACCCATTGGTGTTTGTGCACCTACCTTGTACCCACCTTTTATGTTATATGCAATATTCCATATCTCAAAATGTGAAATTAAGCTGATAAGCACTAGATCAAATGATTTCATACTTGGTTTTAAATTTAGAGATCCGATGTTCAAATCTCGGCGATAATTTTACTAGTGCTTACTGCTTATAGGAAATTTTCAATGGAAAGGGCTTCATTGTCGACAACTACTTGATTTCCATGAGGTATTATTTACTTTTGACCCCACCTCGTAATTACAAGACATAACACTTTAGACCCTACCCGATACATTCCTTCCTCAATGAGATATCCAATGCACTTGGCGTCAATGTTTGTCATTTGAGACAAGATGATCATTATGGTTCTTCACATCTTCAACATTCTTTGTTGTTGTTGCTTTACCTGACAACATATTAAAAAATTATCAATATCAACTCTAGTATTTTGTGTGAGAACCATGCATCGATCCAACTTCATAAGTTCCAAAATTGAAGTTTAAGAACATTCATTACCTGAAACTGCAACGGGTGGCAAAGGCAAATTTTTTTTATGTAAGGACTTGGGAGGTCGCCGAAGGAGTGGAGGATTAATGATTGGATGTGGGGCACTTGGAGGAATACGCTTGTAAAGCGGTTTGGTGGTACTTGAGTCCTCATAACTGGTCTTTTGGCTTACTACTACTGCACTACCATTCGTGAGCACTGACAGGAATAAAACTAGCAGCAACATTATTCTTGAGTGATGATCCATGCGTGCGGTAAAAAGATAATCAGTGGATGAAATCAAAATGAGTGTTGTTGGTTTGCTTTATGGGTTATATATACGATGTTTTGAGATTATATATGTGGTACAAATAATGTCCAGCTACTACGTAATGATTCAAATAGTTGTTGGTTTGATATATGTTTTGGATATGGAGTTTATGGCAGTTTCCTATTCTATAGCTACCACCATGATATATATTTTTCATTTACCTTCTTTTTCATTCGCCATTTGTGAATGGTCTTTAAATTTTTTTCTATAACTTCATTCGTGAGCACATGTCATATTAGTTTCCTTGCACATTTCATACTAGTTTCCTTATAGTGGTATACCAAATTCTCATAGTATTAATAAAAAATCATATTTTTCCTTTTTTGCAAGGGATATACCAAAATGTTTAGCTTTCATAAAATAAAAATAAGAAATATATACTACAATATTCCAATTATGTAAAATCATATCGATCATTTGTGCTAGTGAGATGCACCAAATTATCATAATAAATTTACAATCATGCCCTTTTAACAATTAGGGATACTAGAACAATATAAATTTACATGTTTTTGGGATGTGAAATTTTGAAATTAGTGTAATTTTTTTACATGAATGAACTATGAAGATGCGATATGAATGTTATGAAGATTTGTTTCCATTTTTCCAAACTTAAATTAAAAAACATTTACACAATATCACATGTGATATGATTTAATATCCATTCGCTAGATAAATCGTGACCAACTCCAGTGTTTGCGTCTTACATACGTCAATACTTCAAACGACCTTAATTTTGAACTCGATTATCCAATCAATGTAAATATTTTTTTTATTTCGCATATTATACCTATATGCTGTCACACTTCACATTAAGGAGGAGCTATAATATTACGGTTGACCATGCAGGGTATTGCTACTTGTTGGTGTCGCCATATGAGTCTCAGAAGACAGGAGCTAGCACCTTTCACCCGCACCATACACTCTCTTGCACTTCATTCCTTTGCGTTCCACATCTCTACATTATGCCTAGTCAAAATTTGGGACCATCATTATGTTTTTCTTCATCTCTTCCTTCCCTGACTCCACTATTGTACCTGGAAAATTGACTCATTCCTAACTGCACAATTAATTCCCAACTATAGCCCAAGTGAAAACTCTAGAGGGGTGTAGTATAGGGCAAGCGTTTTAATTGTCAACCCAAGGTGGTCCATGTACTCCTACTTCAATCGCTTAAATTGTTTTCTAGCTAACGATTTGGAGTTTAAAAGCTCAAGAACTACATCTGCAAATAGCAAAAACAGTAAATTGATGTTGTTTCAATAAGAGAAGAATTCACCCGACTATTGCTCCCCCTAGCCGTGTATCAAGATTGACCGAATGGAATGCAAATGTGTAAAGGTGTGTTCATACACCGTAAGGAGGTTGCAACTAGTCGAGAAACTCCAATATCTCAGATAATAGGCCAAGGAATATCAAATTAAGCAAGGAAACTAGCTCTCTTGGCCAATCGACTAAGGATCGCTAAGTGAGAAGGATAACTACTCCATAGCTAGGCTAGGGATTACAACAAAGAGGAGAGAAAGAACCATGGTGGGATGTTTGTCTTCCTTCCTTGTTGTTGAAAACACCCTTGAGAGATAAAAAAAATTCACTCCTTTAGCTTTGAGCAAACCCTAATCCTTTTTATGTGGTGGCAGACATAGCATGAGACTCAAAGTTTCAACCTAAAACCAACAGAAGGTTCTACGGCTTCGACTATAACCTTCCTCTACAAGCAACGACCACTAGCATCGGCCAAAAACACACTTCTCACGACTCTAAACCACAACCAATCATGAACAACATTTGAAGCACACTTTCTTTGCTACTCCTGCTATTTAATCTTTCAAGCACAAGAGTGAAGGAGGTAAACAACATGTATGTGTCTCAATGACTTGACTGCCAAGAAACATCTTTCTAGAGCATAAACAATATTTTGCGACACTCTCTATTCTTATTTGCCCCCCTTTTATTGCCTTCCTTTTCTTTTCTTTTTCTTCCTTTCATTTTGTTTCTCTTTTATTTTTCTTGGGGGGGGGGGGGTATTAGAGAGATAGAAACACATGTGATGACTCGATATTTGCACATGTTTTCCCCTTTGTTTCTTGATCGTTTAAGCTTGCATTATCGCTTCTTTGGCCTATTTTACGCTAGGTTGTGTTCCTTTGTCACATTTCAGGCCCTAGCACATAAAGTGAAGCATAGGCGCAAGTTTCAAGTCAATCAGAGATCAATTGGCGATTAGGGAGAAGAAACTCGGTCATGACCTGAAGAAGAATGGATTTCTAACTCACTTTATGGACAAATAATCAGGCAAGCTTGTTATGAAAAGAAAGAGGATGAGACTAAGAGCGTCTGGGTTCAAACGGCGACTGATTTGGAGTCCGAACGAGGGAGAAACGAAGCTTTGAACAGGAGAGGAGGAAGAATTACGGGCAGGAGAATTACGACCGTAATTTGGCCTCCCATGCCCGTAATTTCACTGCCGAGAGGAGCTTTGGGTGCGCTGAAACATAACCAAAACGCGTGTTTTGGGCAAATTACGGGCATGGAAGAATTACGACCGTAATTCAGACCGTAATTCGCCCAGAATCGGGTTTTTGAGGCAGATTTGAGCCAAAGGAAAGGGAGAGCTGGGTTTTGGTTCCCAAACACCCAAGGGACGAACCCTAGAGAGAGAGCGCGACTTGGGAACATTCTTGGAGCTATTTTGGAGGATTTCTTCGCCATTGGAGCTCGGGAATCAAGCTTGGAGATGGAGATTGAAGATCTAGATCAGATTTCTGCAGTCTCTCTCTTCTCTATGGAGTAACTTCCCTTCACTTAGGTTTTGAGGAACCCTAGTTCCACCCTAGTTCCATGTGTTAGGATCTTTCTTGTATGAAGTTTTGGATGCTATATTGTTTGATTATAATCGATTGAGGCATGATTTATTGAGTCAATTGAATCTTGATCAAATTCTCTTGATTTCTGCTTTAACCTATGATAGATAGAATCTGATTAGGTTAAGAGAGCTTCCTTGATTGATAGTGGTGAATTGGTTGTGCGAGAGTCAATCAATTCACTGCTTTGTACTGGAATTCATTCCAGTAGTGGAGTTCTGTGTTCATAGCCTCAGCTTTCTATCCTGGTGAAGACTAGTCGTCTGCCGGGTAGTTTGACTGAGAGGGCTTGGTCAGTTTAAGAGATTCCAAGCTAATTTAGGATCTTCCGCAGTTTAATCATCAGTAGATCAACCAAAGGTAATTGCAACTTGGACCTAATTGAGGAGCTAGGGGGAATCATACCTAAGTGAGTTCCCAAACTGTAATTAGTAGTTTTACTTAGTTTAGTTAGTAGAGTAGTTTAGTTAATCAATCCTTAATCTAGTTTGCTAGATAATGAACTGAAGCTGAGTAATAGTAACTCTAGAGACCCGTGGATTCGATATTTATTACTTGTGCCACTATAATGCAGTCCCTTTCATTGGTTACACTTGGCCATTGTTAGGTGTTGTGTTTTAGCGTGTCAAGTTTTTGGCGCCGTTGCCGGGGACTTTCTAGATTATTAGGAAAGGCAGAAGTTTGTTACTTTAGCGTTTTTTCTTTTCTTTTCTTTTCCACCCTTGCTTTTCACTTGGGTGTTTTTGTTTCTGTTGGTGCAGATTTGAATCATGGATCCTCATGGCTTCTCCAATCATTGGGGGTATCCACCACCATCCGAGTGGTATTACCCTGAGACTCCCTGGAGCAATCAAGGAGGAGAAGACTATGGATTCGGGTTCCAGTACCAACCCCCTTACTACGGAGAACAACCGGACCCCTGGGCATATCAAGACCAACCTCATTACCAAGAAGAATTTCTCCCACAACCAGAAGGGCTATCGGAGCTGGAGTTACCCATGGCGGCCTTCACAGGCCATTCTGCAGAGCCATGCTACACTCCACAGCCAGATCCAAACTGTGAATTGAGGCTTCTCATTGAGCAGTTTGCTCGAGACAGTGTGAGATCATGTGACAGGATGGATCTTTGTACTCAGGCCTATCGTGAAACAGAGGAGATCCTCCTGAGCCTTAAGAAGAGCGTCGATGATCTTGAGCGATCTTGTGCACAACCTGCTCCAGATCACCCTTTTGCTACCATACTAGAGGAGGAGGAGGAAGTAGAAGGCTACAAGGACATTGTGGAGCAAACAGAAGTTATCACGGAGAGCTCCCGTGAAGATCATGATCAAGAATGTCCTGTCGTAGCCGACCACCCCTTCCCACATCCCACACCGAGCTTTGAAGAGGTGGGCATGAGTGAGGAGATGCAAGAAGATCTCATGAAAGAAATTGCTTGGCAACTTGCTCTCCAATCCGTGCTAGAAGAAGAAGAGCAAGAAAGGGTGCAAAAAGAAGTTGTGGAGGATGACGAAAGTGAAGCAGAAGGAGTTCTTGATCATTTCCCAAGGGTGATACCACATGAAGAAGAAAGGGGGGTTGAAGAAGCAATTGGTGTCCAGGCTGAGGACGGAGTTGAGGTGGAAGAGGCCTGCACCGGCCATGAGTTACATTTGATATCTCCACCAAACTTCGAGGAACTACTTAGCAAGGACCCATTTGCAGTGTCTCTTTGCCAGACCAAGGCCACATCGACATCGGTCCCTCTTGGTGGACGTGATGGTGGCCAATCGATGCTGTCATATCTGGTTTGGGGCAATGAGACGAGAGAAGAGAAGAAGAGGTCTCGAGGGTGGAGACTTCATCTGCATCAAGTGCATGAGCCTTCATCACCTGCCACACCACATGCTCGTGACTTGAGACTCCACCTCATCGACGAGAACCTCAACTTCAAAGAGGTTCTGGGGTGGATCGAAATTTAGGAGCCATCGTCCGGCTCACGACGTGAAAGAAGCGCTTGTTGGGAGGCAACCCAACCAGTCGGTTTGCATTTCTTTCTCTATTTCTCCTCGGTTGAGTCAGTTTTGTTATTTGATTTTAGAGTCAATAA